CCGCAATATGATTAAAAAGGTTTATATATTTAGAATAAATTCTACTATAGCTGGTTTTAGTGTATGAGTATGAAAGGAAACAAGGTTTTCTAATTGCACAGTAGGTAAGGCTAGGAGCATTCTATATGAAATCTTATCGAGTCCCTTAGCAGAATCAGGGTTACGGGATTTGAGAAAGACAAGAAGTTCATGATATGTGAAGTTTGAGATAGAATTTGTGTAAAGTAAGTCGTCAGGGAAAATAACATCAGAACAAGTATCAGTGTTAGGAGCTGTGGCTATTTGACTAAGAAAAGCTTGGTGGTCCGAGTCAGAAAATGAACTTTTGGAAGGTTTTATTTGTTTATAAAGTTTAAGGGAATGAATTTTTCCCCACATACCTTTCATTGAGGTACGGTCAGATAAATCATCTAAAAGCCTGTTTAGGTTATTCTTTCTCATTTTATAAAAGTAATTATTAAGTTTTCTATTACTGTTAATATAGGCAATAGCATCTGTATAAAGCTTGGATTTAAAATATTTTTGTCTGCACGCGTTTCTTAGCCTAAACAGTTTTTCACAAACCTCATCGCAATATTTTTTAGGAACGTATCTATTATTCCCATTTAATTTTATCGTATTATTGGCGTGAATGTTTTGAGAAGAAGTAAAAAGGGTGTCTAGAGAAGTAATATGAACATTTGAGAAATCTTTAATAATTTTTGGGTGAGTATATTTATAAGAGTTGAAAGAGGCCGAAACATTATCAACTTCAATTAAAACCGGAAAGTGATTGCTATTCGAAATTTTAGAATTAACTGAAGCCCATTTAAATCTAAGATGATTATTATTTGTGAAAGTGACATCAAGGGTAGAGAAATAGGACGGATTAGGTGAGTAGGTTGGATCGCCATTGTTAATGCAAAAAAATCCTGAATTTAAAAGAGCGTTTTCCAAGATGACTCCTCTGGCATCAAGCGTGTTGTTACCCCAAATACTAGATTTGGCATTAAAATCGCCACCTATAATAGAAGTACCGTTCAGTTCAGACGCAATAGAAAATAAATCGTTACAACCTTGTTCAAAAGAATTAGCGTTAGGATTGGGTGCGGCATAGATACTAAAAATGTTTATATTGTTTTTTTGATTCGTTGTACAGACACCAACTGCTTCAATATTAATGTTAAATTTAATTTTCCTAAAACGTATATGTTTTTTTAAATAAATACCAACGCCTCCGTACCCGTCGGCACGAGGTTTACACACAAAATTATAATTAGCTAGGCTACACATATAATTGTTTCCCAGATTTCTGACAAAATTGCTATGTCTATATTATTATTAACTAAAAATAGTTCTAACAGATGTTTATTGTTATTATCAGTTAAGCTCTGAATATTGTATTGGAGGATTTTAAGAGTCATTATTATTTATTTTTTTTTAAGAAAAGTATATAGACAAGCAACATTAAAGATCTATTGTAACGATTGGTTAATTTTAATTAAATCAATTTTTGAATTTGTAATAGAAATACGATCTTTTAAATTAACTAAAAAGTTTCTTGATTCAGGAACTAATATCGAATTTTCGTTGACTAAAAAAGAGGAAATGTCTAGGGCTAGTTGGTTTAAACTTTTTTCTGCAGCTTCTAGAGCTGGGTTGTTGCAATTATAAATTTCAACTTGTTGAGCAGAAAAAGGATCTTTAGATTGGGTATTAATGAATTTTTCTTTGAGAGAGTACTCATGTTTTTTAAGAGCAGCTTTCCAGCTGATCATTGTGTCGTTGGCATTGTTTTCCTCATTTTTTTTGTTAAGAGAGATCTTAACAACTTTGTTAAAAGGGTTATTTTCAAATAAATGTTGCGTGGCTAATTTGGTGTTATTTTGTAAAATTGGTGTAGTAGATTTCCTTGCCATGATGGCTGTGGGAAAAGAGTTATGTCGTTAGTATCAACTTCATCTAAAATTTGAAACAGAGAGGGATATCTAATTTTCGCTTCTGATTTTGATAAGTTTTCAAGTGTCATGCACTTTTTAGTTGCATAGGCTCTTTTACGAGCAGGACAATCAAGAGAGGTGGCTACGTGAGATTGTTTGCAGTTAGCGCAAACCAATTGGCTACATTGCTGCTCTTTGGTATGAGATAATGAACAGCTACTACATTTTTGATCAGCTTGTTTGCAATTTTGAGCAAAATGATTAAACCTAAAACAGCGATAACATTGGCTGAAAGGTACATACGGACTAACGTTAACTTTAGTGTATAAAAAGACGACTTCATTGGGAATTTGTGTACTTTTAAAGAGAATTTTAACCCTTGAAGTGTTAATAAATTTATCTTTAACCTCTTTATCCCTAGTTTTAACTCGAATGATCTCGTGAATCGGTACAGAAGAGGAAATGTACTCTTTCAGTTCGGAGTCGGAGAACTTTGTAGGAATATTAAAAATAATACCCATTTTAAAAATAAAGTGTTTTAAAATCTTGGGTTCATAGCCATTATTTTTCAAATCTGACAATAAAATGTCATTAGCTGCCGCAGCAGACTTAAACTCAGCTTTGCAGCGTCCAAAGCCAATCTTACTGACGGATATAATGTCTTTGATTTTGAGTTTCAGAAGTGTAGCATTTAAATCTAGCGGATTAATTGGGACTCTGTTCTGTCGGCTCTCTAAGCCAGTATCTCCGATTTTGTCAATATAGACCACAAGGGGTCCTTTGTGAGAAATGTCATACAAAATTTCATTTTTATCCAATTGCAAATTTTCTTCTAAGCAAACATTTTCTAATTTTCTTTTCTTCTTTTTGACTTTGATTCGTTGAATTGTTCCCATCGTGTCCAGTCAAATCCTCCATATCCGAAATAACTTCATCACTTACTTGCACATCGTCTTTATTGAAACAAATTCTTTTTGGTCTCTTGAAAGTGGCCTGCTCCGAGGAAGGGATGGGACCCTTGGCCTCGTGGGCCATTTTTGTTTTAATTTTCCCCGTAACAAATAATAAAAGCGAATATTTTTAGCAAAAAAAAAAAATAATAATTTACAACTTTCAACTTTTAAAAAACAAAAAACTTTTTTTTTTTTTTCTCTCCGGTTTTTTTTTGGAAGTACCGTTCCGAATCAAAGTAAAACGAATACAGCGGTTGTTGAATTTGAGAGCCTGACTTTGAATTTGACTTCGTTTCTAACTGACATTTTGACATTTGGCATTTTCATTTGACATTTTCTTTTTAGCTGTCTGCCTAAATAAAAAAATATGGGCCATGGAGGAACTCTGTCGAACGGGACAAAAAGTATCCTATGTCCTTCTCATGGCTCTAAGCTACCTCCCTACCAATTTTCACTCAAATCTGTTCTTCCGTTCTTGATTTATAAGTGGTGTAACATAGAACACGACTTTCTTTTATATATATAGATAGAAGATAGATTGCTTTATACAGTTTACATATACAGTTTTCTTTTATATATATAGATTTAATAGAAATAGTTTTAATATTCATTTCTTACAAATATCAATAGAGAGTGGAGAGGCTCTGGTGGTGCTTCAAGTTGAGTCAATTTCACTTTCCCGGAAGCGCAACACAATCCTTTTGGTTCGTTGTTGAATTTGAGAGCCTGACTTTGAATTTGACTTCGTTTCCAACTGACATTTTGACATTTGACATTTTCATTTGACATTTTCTTCTTAGCTGTCTGCCTAAATAAAAGAGTATGGGCCAGGGAGGAACGCTGTCGAACGGGACCAAAAGTATCCTATGTCCTTCTCATGGCTCTAAGCTACCTCCCTACCAATTTTCACTCAAATCTGTTCTTCCGTTCTTGATTTATATGTGGTGTAACATAAAACACGACTTTCTTTTATATATATAGATAGATAGATTGCTATATACAGTATACATATACAGTATTCTTTTATATATATAAATTTAATAGAAATAGTTTAATATTGATTTCTTACAAATATCAATAGAGAGTGCAGAGGCTCTGGTGGTGCTTCAAGTTGAGGCAATTTCACTTTCCCGGAAGCGCAACACAATCCTTTTGTTTCGTTGTTAAATTTGAGAGGGTCATGAGGGAGAGATCTTTACCACAGAATTTCATCCGGAGGGAGAGATGCTGCTATCCTCCGGGTTGGATAGGCAGATTCGTGAGTGAAATTTTGAGTCAGTTTTGTATATTTTTTTCATTCATTATTATTGTTTTGCAGACATCTGGCAGGTTTACGGTGACTGTGAGAATATAATGGCTCTATCCGGACACAGTGGCGCTGTAATGGAAGCCCATTTTACGCCGTATGGTTCGCATATATATTCTCCTGCTCGACGGACAAAACTCTAGCCATTTGGGACATTGTTACGGGTCAACGGCAGCGACGCTTCAAGGGTCACGGGAACTTTGTGAACAGTGTGCAGGGATCGCGACGAGGCCAACAGCTGCTGTGCTCAGGCAGTGATGATCGGACCATAAAGATCTGGGATGCGAGGAAGAAACACGCCGTCCATACCCTGGAGTCTCCCTTCCAGGTGACTGCAGTTTGTTTTGGTGACACCGGAGAACAAGTAATCACCGGAGGCATCGATAATGAACTGAAAATTTGGGATATTCGAAAGCAGGCGGTTCTGCATACTTTGAGAGGACATGCAGATACTGTTACCGGCATGGCGCTGTCGCCGGAAGGTGATTTCGTCCTTACCAATGCTATGGACAACACGCTGAGAGTGTGGGACGTGAGGCCCTATGCTCCTGGCGAGCGGTGTGTAAAAGGTATTCCAGGGCCATCAGCACAACTTTGAGAAGAATCTGCTTCTCTGCGCTTGGTCACCGGGAAGCGACAAAATATCCTGCGGTTCGGCCGATCGGCATGTCTACATTTGGGATGTCAACACGAGGCGCATTCTATACAAGCTGCCAGGACATAATGGCAGTGTAAACGATGTGGATTTCAGTCCGAAAGAACCTTTAATTTTGTCTGGATCCAGCGATAAAACCTTGTATCTGGGCGAGATTGTGGACTGACCTATGGAGAAGCCAAGTCAAAGGATAGGCCCACTGCTGGAGACTCCAGTGGAATGACAAAATGGAGAAATCGAAGATTAGTTTTATGATCAAGATACATATAATTAATTTTAATATAACACTCCCCCCATATACACAATTGCGTCGTAAAAGACCAATCTATAAAGAGAGTCTTCCAGCGTAGCAGAATCGCGTCATAGTTCGCATTTATAATTGCAATTTCTGATAAGCGAGCATTGATTTTCCCAATGAGTAAGTTGAGAAAATAATTAAAAAAAACAATATGGAAGGCAAACTTTCGGGCTTTCAAGATAAGAACGGGAATGTATAGAGTCGATAGGGATATGCAGAGTCCTCCCATTCCCAAACAGGCCACAAAACCCACAATTCTCTGCAGTCGCGACTGAAATATAAACGAAAATGGATTATAAATAAATTATTTAGGGTTTAGGACTCAATGTAATCCTACCAGTTTGGGACAACAGGAGTCCTGGGTGTCCTTTAGCCAGCTATTGGCCTTCGGCTCCGTGTTTTGGAAAATAGTCCCAGACTTGGGATCTTCAACTGTGGCAGCTTCACATTGAAGCTCTTCTGATCACTCTGCAGCAATAAATATTCATCCAAATCGGACTTTAAACTACTCATGGCTAAAGTAGTTTTTCACAACTTTTTCTTAAAAATAATAATTTTCTTATATATCGTGTGTAGTGTCAGAAATAGGGTTGTTGGTTTTTGAAAAATATCGTATTGATGATATTTGCTGTGAAAAAAATATCAATCGATAATATTCAGAAATATCACCCAAAAAAATCGATATATCGAGTATTTTCGATATTTTTTATAGTCAGCTAAATTTGAAAAAAGGTTATTTTTAAATTTAAAAAAAGGTTTTAATATGTGTTTTCATCCGCCATGAACTGCAAATAAGACATATTTTTTTATTTAAAAAGTGAATTGAAAAAACAACAAATATTTATACCCACTCTCAAGCAACTTTTATTTAAGTTCTTTGAAATAAAAAATAACAAAATTATTAAGGACATTGTATTCAAATTTATTTATAAAAAAAACTTAATACAAAAAAAAAAAGTTTCATGGAATTCATGGAATATGTACTTAATAATTCTAATTACTTAATTCTCTTATTTAATGCTCTTAATTACTCTTAATTACAAAATAAATCTTTCTTCAATGATTTAAAAAAAACTCTTTCGGTTATATGCTGGTCTGTCATTCGACTACGGGAGTCACAGACAATACATCTAATGGCAGAAGCCAACCGTTCAGATGGAACCGAACTTCCAGGCGTGATAAGAAAACTTAAAGCAACCTTCGCTAGCATCGGCATCGTTGAAATTTGTGAGTTCCAGAATTCCAACGGATTTGTCTCCCAACTACAAAATGGCATACTCAAGTAAACCTGCATTTCCTTTCTTTCGCAACAAATATCGGAGAACACCAACTCAAAAATATTATTATCGACTATTTTTGCCCAAAAAATATCACGATAATAATATTTTTTTAAGAGAAAATATATCGATATATCGATATTTTGATATATTTCCGACATCCCTAGTCAGAAACAAAACAAAACATGCGGAAAGGTACTAACGCCTGAGTGTCGCCAGCGATGCCAACCTGCTTTTACACATAGTAGGTGGGTTTTTCGTTGTTATCGGTTTTTGTTATCGCCTTTCGCGCCCAATTAATTCGTTGATTTTTTAATTTTACATTTTATTAAAAATAATAAAAGACTTTGGACTTTTCCAATCTCCGACGTTTAAGACACCCCCTGCTCTTATTTATCCTTTGTTAATTTTATATCCTTGCCGAGGATATATTTTGTCCATTTTTTTTTATATATATTTTTTATTTTTTTTACCATTTATTTAACTGAATAAAACAATTACCGGTTCACTCTCTTCAATTGGCCCATAGCCGTTGTACTCCAGGGTGGCGAAAGCACTCAAGAGGGTCATCAATTAATTCCAAATTAATCTTTCAACAATTAATTTTATATAATAATAATGTGGTGTTATTATAAACACTTCTCGACTTCTCTGATATTTATTTATTTTCTTATTTTAAATTAAACTATATTTCATATATAACTATTTTTAACAATTTTTTCCCAATAATATTTTTATATAAAAAAAAACTTTTTGCTGCCCGACTTCTCTGATATTTATTTATTTTCTTATTTTAAATTAAATTATAAACAATGAACAATGTTTTTTCCAATCGGTTTCACTTTTATCTTATTTTTTTTATATCTTTTTTTATTTTATTTTCTTTTTATTTATTTTCTTATATATTTTACAATTTTTTTATTTTTTATCTTCGGGATCTTCTTTGGGACCTCATCTTGTTCATCTTGCCCTTCATCACCTTATTTTTTTTTTAGTTTTCAATTCGTTTTTTTCATTTTTATTCATTAATTTTTTAATTTTATATTTTATTAAACAGTTGCTAAAACTAATGACATAAGGAATGTCTTGCCAGTTCCACCAGGGGCATCTAGGAAATATAAACCACCATTTTCATCAGCGATTGCCTTCATTAAAGTATCATTCATTTCACGATTTGGCGCTGGCATTCCTAACCTGATTAATAAATTACCGCACATGAGGTAACACATATCTTCGACCAAGAGTAAAGCACGATTATGTATCTCCTCATTCATCTCAATATCGTGATTTCTGGAACTGACACGTCTTTGATGTAAAATATCTTCTGACATACTATCCTTGTATTTGTGCCACAGGTTACATGGGTTTGATGGAAAACATGTCGAAATTATGATAGCGAATAATGTGCGTATCTGACTTGGAGATGCAGAGATAATGGCTTCAGCGATTGTCGTATCCCAATGGGTATCGTTTTCTAATAAGTTCAATTCTTCACATGCAGCACGATGTGTTGGGAATATTACACCATTAACAGTTCGTAGTGTCTCAAATGAAGTTGGCCCACGCACATTTACCAGCAACAACCGCAAATAGAAACATTCATCATTCTTTGGATGAACTGTATACATACGACCAAGAGCTTCAGTAGAACGCACATCTGGATACCCAGAAACCGCATCACCTTGCTTCCGTCTTTGAAAATTCTTGGATGAAGCATTCCAAGTATAATATCGTGGCATCTCTGAGTAAAGCAAAGTTCGTGCAAACTGATCGCTTTGGCAGATTGCAAAAAAACTGGTCAATGTAGTTGCTGGAGGTGTTTCAGCACGTTGCATAGCATTCGAAGCCCATTCTCTAGATGCACCGCCAAATGTGTAACAGTTGGATGACGTTCGTGAATGGGAAATCCGAATATACGCCAAATCGCTGCATTACAGTTCACATAACGACCAACTTGATAGCGTGAAATTTCATCGTTGGTATTCGAGGATTGCAATTTCGTGACATATTTGCAAATATATTTTATGGACTTAACTGAATTGCAGTATTCAACGTTGCAATGTGTCTTAAGTAGCGAAAAATAAGTAGAAGTAGAAATAAGTGGCGAATATGGAACAATCCAACTGTTGTCGACAACGAAATCCAGTCAGCGGATACCCATCGTTGCCAGTGACAGTCTCCGCCGTTAATTTCCATGCATATCGTTTAGAGCACTTTCCATGGACCATGCAAGGTGATTGGGGGTTGATGGCACCACACGGTCCATATTAGTAGTAACAACATCATGTAGGTCTGGATCGACTTCATGATCAGGAATCTCGGCACATATGATATCATCTATTTGGTCAGGCTGAATTCTTTCCACTAACCAAATAAGAATGTGTGCGTGCGGCAGGCCTCGCTTTTGCCATTCGATTGAATACATCCAGCATCGAGTATCTCCAAAGACGCGTTGTTTAACAATAAAGTTCATCAGGGACCGAATTTTTAGCCTGAAAATACGTGCTGTGATGTCGTGTCTATCATTTGATGTTTGTCCGGGAAGCAGCAATTGAGTAATTTCTATCCATTTTGGATTACAGGTAAAAGTAATAAAGAGATCTGGCCGGCCGTAATGACGAACATATGTCATTGCATCTTGTGCATGTTCATGCAAATGACGTACGTCGTACCAATGTACGTCGCCGGCAGAATAGTTAATCGACCAATATTAGCTGCATTTCCTTCAGTACTAACTGCATCACGTAAATGGATGTACTCCTCAGAACGCAGTTTGGCTTGGTTCAACCTAATAAATGTTAAACGATCCGTTTCTATTTTTACATACATGTCAACGCAATACTGCTGAAACAATCGACGAAACCGCAGCAAATAGTTGTCAGCATTTTGACGAATCATCAAACGATATGCATAATAATTCATTGAGCTAACTTTCTTTGTAGTTTCTTCACCTGAAATTAAAAATTTGATAATTAACCATTTCAAAGGCAAATAATACAGTTTACTTTACCATTGAATGGATTTATCATTTTAATATTAAAATAATATCCATCTTCTCCTTGCCAAAACATCAGTGGGTATTGCAATGCGTCATATGATCGATGAGTTTCCGATATTTGTTGCAGTTGCCCAGTATCGCGACGTGTAAGCACAATATCGCGTTTTTCAAATTGTTCACCAAGAATCAAAATGGCAATTTCGTCTACTGTTGGAGCATTAAATGTGCGTTCGTGTGTTCCAGATGGTCGTTTATCTGATTTGATGACAACTTTATAGTCATCATTTGGCATGCGCTCTAAAGCACTCTTAAACAACCTGACCAACGCATGATGTTCATGAAGCAGACACTGCAAGTCTTGAAGAATTTGTAAGTAATTTCTATATATATAAAAGAAAGTCGTGTTATATGTTACACCACTTATAAATCAAGAACGGAAGGAATCAAGTATCAAGTAAGTAGGCTGTGAGCGTAACGTATCATATTTTTATGTACGATATTATGTATTTATACATTTATAGATATTTATCTATTTATATATATAAAAGAAAGTCGTGTTATATGTTACACCACTTATAAATCAAGAACGGAAGAACAGATTTGAGTGAAAATTGGTAGGGAGGTAGCTTAGAGCCAGGAGAAGGACATAGGATACTTTTTGTCCCGTTCGACAGCGCGAATTATACTCCACCGAACTATACTCCACTTATAGTCTATATATATAAAAGAAAGTCGTGTTTTATGTTACACCACTTATAAATCAAGAACGGAAGAACAGATTTGAGTGAAAATTGGTAGGGAGGTAGCTTAGAGCCAGGAGAAGGACATAGGATACTTTTTGTCCCGTTCGACAGCGTTCCTCCCTGGCCCATACTTTTTTATTTAGGCAGACAGCTAAGAAGAAAATGTCAAATGAAAATGTCAAATGTCAAAATGTCAGTTAGAAACGAAGTCAAATTCAAAGTCAGGCTCTCAAATTTAACAACGAACCAAAAGGATTGTGTTGCGCTTCCGGGAAAGTGAAATTGCCTCAACTTGAAGCACCACCAGAGCCTCTGCACTCTCTATTGATATTTGTAAGAAATCAATATTAAAACTATTTCTATTAAATCTATATATATAAAAGAATACTGTATATGTATACTGTATATAGCAACTGTATATAAAAGAAAGTCGTGTTATATGTTACACCACTTATACATCAAGAACGGAAGAACAGATTTGAGTGAAAATTGGTAGGGAGGTAGCTTAGAGCCATGAGAAGGACATAGGATACTTTTTGTCCCGTTCGACAGCGCGAATTATACTCCACCGAACTATACTCCACTTATGGCAAAAGCGAGGCCTGCCGCACGCACACATTCTTATTTGGTTAGTGGAAAGAATTCAGCCTGACCAAATAGATGATATCATATGTGCCGAGATTCCTGATCATGAAGTCGATCCAGACCTACATGATGTTGTTACTACTAATATGAGTCATGGACCGTGTGGTGCCATCAACCCCCAATCACCTTGCATGGTCCATGGAAAGTGCTCTAAACGATATCCACGGAAATTAACGGCGGAGACTGTCACTGGCAACGATGGGTATCCGCTGTATCGGCGTCGATCACCAGATGACAACGGTCGAACTGTCACAACGAATGTTGTTCCATATTCGCCACTTATTTCTAAAACGTTCAAGACACATTGCAACGTTGAATACTGCAATTCAGTTAAGTCCATAAAATATATTTGCAAATATGTCACGAAATTGCAATCCTCGAATACCAACGATGAAATTTCACGCTATCAAGTTGGTCGTTATGTGAACTGTAATGAAGCGATTTGGCGTATATTCGGATTTCCCATTCACGAACGTCATCCTACTGTTACACATTTGGCGGTGCATCTAGAGAATGGTCAACGAGTATATTTCACGGCTTCGAATGCTATGCAACGTGGTGAAACACCTCCAGCAACTACATTGACCAGTTTTTTTGCAATCTGCCAAAGCGATCAGTTTGCACGAACTTTGCTTTACTCGGAGATGCCACGTTATTATGCTTGGAATGCTTCATCCAAGAATTTTCAAAGACGGAAGCAAGGTGATGCAGTTTCTGGGTATCCAGATGTGCGTTCTACTGAAGCTCTTGGTCGTATGTATACAGTTCATCCAAAGAATGATGAATGTTTCTATTTGCGGTTGTTGCTGGTAAATGTGCGTGGGACAACTTCATTTGAGACACTACGAACTGTTAATGGTGTAATATTCCCAACATATCGTGCTGCATGTGAAGAATTGAACTTATTAGAAAACGATACCCATTGGGATACGACAATCGCTGAAGCCATTATCTCTGCATCTCCAAGTCAGATACGCACATTATTCGCTATCATAATTTCGACATGATTTCCATCAAACCCATGTAACCTGTGGCACAAATACAAGGATAGTATGTCAGAAGATATTTTACATCAAAGACGTGTCAGTTCCAGAAATCATGATATTGAGATGAATGAGGAGATACATAATCGTGCTTTACTCTTGATCGAAGATATGTGTTACCTCATGTGCGGTAATTTATTAATCAGGTTAGGAATGCCAGCGCCAAATCGTGAAATGAATAACGGGAACGTGAATATGATCACCAGGAATTAGATTTAGTAGTTCAAAGGAATGCACCCCTGTTGAATTACCAACAAAAGGAAGTTTATGATACTTTAATGAAGGCAATCGCTGATGAAAATGGTGGTTTATATTTCCTAGATGCCCCTGGTGGAACTGGCAAGTCATTTCTTATGTCATTAGTTTTAGCAACTGTTTAATAAAATATAAAATTAAAAAAATTAATGAATAAAAATGAAAAAAAAACGAATTGAAAACTAAAAAAAAATAAGGTGATGAAGGGCAAGATGAACAAGATGAGGTCCCAAAGAAGATCCCGAAGATAAAAAATAAAAAAATTATAAAATATATAAGAAAATAAATAAAGAGAAAATAAAATAAAAAAGAAATAAAAAAATAAGATAAAAGTGAAACCGATTGGAAAAAACATTGTTCATTGTTTATAATTTAATTTAAATATTATTGGGAAAAAATTGTTAAAAATAGTTATATATGAAATATAGTTTAATTTAAAATAAGAAAATAAATAAATATCAGAGAAGTCGAGAAGTGTTTATAATAACACCACATTATTATTATATAAAATTAATTGTTGAAAGATTAATTTGGATTTAATTGATGACCCTCTTGAGTGCTTTCGCCACCCTGGAGTACAACGGCTATGGGCCAATTGAAGAGAGTGAACCGGTAATTGTTTTATTTAGTTAAATAAATGGTAAAAA